GATGGAAAGCAGCTTTAATTGGATATGTTCTAGGGGAAACCCTTCGTTCAAGGAAATTCTCAAATTCGCCTATGGGGTGTGGAACTCAATGACGACACCAATAATATTTCTTCATGGCGATGGTTATTTCATTTTTCGCTTTGAATCTATGAAGGATAAAATTGCAATTGTACAAAACGGATCTTATACCTTCAATAATAGACCCATGGTCTTGAAGGATTGGGATCCTGATTTTCAGATTCAGAACGAATCTATGAGAATTGTTCCTATATGAGTTAACCTTCCTGGGCTGCCTGTCCAGTGTTGGGCTGAGGAAAACCTAGGTAGGATTGCTAGTCTACTAGGCAAACCTATTTGCACTGATAAGCTTACAGCCCGATGTGAAAGAATTTCATATGCTAGGATCCTTATTGAAAGAGATATCACACAACCACTAACAGATGAAGTAACCATTGAGAAACTAGATGGAAGTAGCTGGGTGCAGAGAGTGGACTTTGAATGGAAACCAAAACTGTGTATGGATTGTAACAAGTTTGGGCATAGTACTGGTGATTGCCAACAAACCATACAACAGGAGGAGGACCCAAAACAACATAAAAGAAAAAGGAAGAAGAGGACAAGAATGGAATGGAAGCCAAAACCAAATGACATAGTAAATAACATAACAAATGTTCTGCCTAAGGAGGAACCTGCACAATAGAAGCCAGCAGTAGAGATACAAGTGACTAATCGAGGTAAACATGCTGTGGTTATTCAAGGATCAGCTGGCAAGAAGAGCCATAAGGATATCAACTATGAGGAATTAGCTAGAAGGAATCCATTTGCACCCTTGACAATCTTGGAAAGGCCATCAAACAATAGTCAACATGGACTATCTTCTTGTAGAGATAAAGCTCGAAGTGCAACTAAGAGAACCAGTCCTATTCCTCATAATCCTCCATGATTATTGTCTCCTGGAATATAAGAGGACTGAATAAGTCCTACAAGCAACGAAAATTTAAAAAGTTCTTGTTGCTAAATAAAGTAGATATGATAGCTTGCCTAGAGACCAGAGTTAAACAACAAAGAGCAAAAGCAATACAGAGGAAGATTGGTGTAGATTGGAACTTCAAGGACAACTATGTCTATGCACCAAATGGTAGAATTTGAATAGGATGAAAAGTGACAAATGTTAAAGTCACAGTGCTGGATTGCTCTGATCAGATGATGCACTACTTTGTCATTGATAATAATTCATCCCTTTTCAGCTATATAACTTTTATATATAGATTGCACACTATTCATGACAGAACCCCACTTTGGAGAAGCTTGAGGAACATACAGACTAATGGGCCTTGGCTTATAATAGGTGATTTCAATAGTGTACTGCATGTGGAAGATAGACTGAATGGATTCCCAGTTCATCAAAAAGAGATAACTGACTTTCAAAAGTGTATTGATGACATTGGTGTGGGGCAAATCACTAAGAGAGGCTGCAAGTTCTCATGGAGTAACAAGAGGGATGCAGACATCAGAATTTATAGCCACATAAATTGGGCTTTTGGGAATGCTGATTGGTTTCAACAATATAATAGTGTGGAAGCTATCTACATGTTACCAGGCTGTTCAGACCATTCACCTATAATGATAATCATAGATGTTACAAGGATGAGAGTGAAAAAACCATTTAGACTCTTGTCTACAATGATGCAGCTACAAGAATACAAAGAGTTGGTGCAGGCTACATGGAGTCAGCAGATTCAAGGATACACAATGTACTCAATATGGAGGAAGTTAAAGTTAGTGGAGATGCAGACTAGAGGCCTTCAACAGGAGCACTCTTCAGTTGATAAGAAACTAATTCAACTGAGAGAAACACTGAAGGAGGTACATGGTAAGTTTAATGAAGACTACTTTAATAACTCACTGATTGAGGAGGAAAGAAGGACATTGGGACTTATAGAGAAATGGGAACCAATACAGGAAAAAATATTGAGACATAAATCCAGGGCCACCTAGATCAAATTAGGGGACTGCAATTCCAAGTACTTCCATGCTTACATGAGAGCCAGACAAACAAGGAACAAGGTAACATGTATCTACAATGAACAACAGATCAAAATTTCTGAGCCTAAACAGATACATCAGGAGTTCACTCAGTTTTTTCAGCACTTACTGGGTGAAGCAACCAATGAACTACTAGGCATTGATATCAATATAGTTAGAAATGGCCCATGTCTAACCATGAATCAGCAGCATCAACTCTTAAAGCCTGTAACATCTGAGGAAATAGATCATGTTGTGCAAAACCTCCCTAGTGACAAGGCACCTTCTATAGATGGATACCTTGCTGAATTCTTCAGAGAATTTTGGCCAATTATTGGTGAGGAGGTCACAAAAGCAGTTCTAAAATTCTTTGAGACTGGCAAGCTATTGAAAGAAATTAACTGCACGACAGTCACTTTGATACCCAAAGTTCAGAATCCTACTTATGTCAAGGAATTTAGTCCTATTGCCTATTGCTCTACACTGTATAAGATCATTGCTAAGGTACTAACAGCTAGGCACAAACTAGTTGTTGATCTATTGGTAGAGCCTTCATAATCTGCCTTCATTGAAAGTAGGAACATACTTGACAATGTTATAATAGCACATGAGCTGATCAAGGGCTATACTCAAAAAGCAGTCTCCCCCAGATGCATGATCAAGGTTGATATCAGGAAAGCATATGACTCAGTAGAATGGAGCTTTTTGAGAATAATATTACTAGAGTTTGGGATCCCCTACAAACTGGTAACCTTGATCATGGAATGTGTAACAATTGTTAGTTACACATTATTACTAAATGGTGGTTTAACTAACAGATTTAAAGCAAAAAAAGGTTAAGGAAGGGAGACCCAATGTCTCCATATTTATTTGTGCTGGTAATGGAATACCTTAACAGATCCCTAAAGATACTCATCCAAAATCCTAACTTTAACTTCCACCCTAAGTGTGCAAGGCTACAAATTCTGCACATCTGCTTTGCTGATGATCTACTGATGTGTTGTAGGCATGGGCAGAGCTAGAGTGCCCCGTGTGGGTTCGTCCGAATCCAGTAGGTTTGGTTCGAACTATGTATTTATCTTTAAAAAATTATTGAATATAGTATAAATTATTAATTTAGAACTTAGTAATTTAAAACAATTAGAATCCTCGAACCCATAAACTTGAAATCGTGACTCCGCCTCTGGCTGTAGGGCAGATGAAACACCTATGAAGCTAATAATGAGAGCATTTGAACACTTTTCTGTTGTCTCTGGGCTTAAAGCAAACCTGAAAAAGAGTTCATTATATATAGTAGGGGTACCTGTGGCCCTCAAATAAAAAATGATATCTGAGATGTACCTAACTCTAGATACTCTTCCATTCAAGTACCTTGGAGTTCCTCTGTCCACAAGAAAGCTCACAATCCACTAGTGCATGCCATTAATTGAGAAGATTGTAGATATGATCAGGAGTTGGACTTCAAAATTCCTATCCTATGCTGGAAGAGTACAACTCATTAAGAGTATTTTATTTGAAATGCAGACCTATTGGGCGCAGGTATTTTTAATTCCAAAGAAGGTCATCAAGATTGTTAATAGCATTTGTAGGAATTACATATGGACTGGAGTACATGACAACTCTAATAGAGCTCCTGTTGCTTGGGAAACTCTATACAAACCAAAAGCTGTCTAAACATCATCAACTATGAATTATGGAATAAGGCTGCTCTGACCAAACTCCTATGGGCTATAATGGCAAATAAGGATAAATTATGGATTAGGTGGATCCACAGTCACTACATAAAATATAATGATGTTGCTATCATGACTGCTCCAAAGCAGGCCAGCTGGTTAGTAAGGAAAATATTCTCTGCTAGAGAATGGTGGGCATCCGATCTAGCAGTGATAAACTCTTTTGTGTCTGATGGAAGATTCAACATCAAGAAAGCCTATATATATTCTATGCCAAGTTATCCCAAAGTCCAATGGAAATCACTAGTTATGTTGATAGGAATTCTGCCAAAACACCATTTCATACTATGGATGGCAGTACAACAAAGGCTAGCTACTGTTGACAGGCTAGCAAAATGGGGAATTGAGGTTCCTAATCATGTATGCTATATGAATAGATATTGAAGAAACACTTGGCCACATGTTCTTTGAATGACAATACTCAAAAATCTTGTGGAAAGGAATGCTGATATGGCTAAGATACCAAAAAAAGGTCACAAACTGAGAATCTGAATGTGAATTGGTTATCAACCAATGCCAATAGTAGGAACCCAAGGAAAACAATCCTAGGGATTATTTTTGCAGCAGTGGTGTATCATACCTGGATGGAAAGGAATAGCAGAAGATTTCAAAGCCAGAAAAGGGAGGCCAAGGACAGAGCTAAAGACATTACAATCCAAGTGCATATAACAGGTCAACAAAAATACAAATGGAAACCTATATTGAATACACTGAATAGTTATCCTAATTTGTAGTTCATAGCAAATAGGATAGAGGAAGATCCACGTTACAAGTGGTCTTGGATAGGCAACAATATGGTTGTATAGCTTCTGATTTTTTGGTTTAGTCTTGAGACCTGCTACTTGAGTCAAAAAGTGCAGGTGGTGTATATTGAAAACTGGTTGAAATAAACATTTACTTTCAAATAAAAAAAAAAAATAATAATTAATCATGTCATCAGTTGGCAGAGAAGTATCACAGTTTTTTCCTGAGACTGAGCCAGAATTTGAAGAATATGAGTACGAAATTTTAATCATTCTAAGATACTAGTTCTAAATTAGTAATTTGTATATATTAAATAAAATTTTTAAGACAAATATATGATTTGAACTAAAGTACTGGGTTCAGCTGAACCTGCAATTTCCGCCCCTAGTTTTTCGAGATGATGTAAAAAGATTTGCCCCAATATCAAATGAAAATTAATTAAAATTTTGGCCGAGATATTCATATTAAAGCTACATACTAATGTGCTTCACAAAATAATAGTACCAAGCGCTCAATGAATTGCATGTATATATTAAATTTTGTAAAACATTTCTCCTTAGAGTAGTATTTATACTTCAAAAGGTATCTCGCTCTCGAACATGCTCTATTTAATTTGGAGAAAAAACAAAGTAAGCTCTAAAAAAGTCTGATAATTCTGGACATCCAATAGCCGCACGAAGATAAATATAAAACTACAATAATAGCAAACTGTAACGAATATTGTGTCGTCTTATCTTTTTCCTTAGAAAACCATTGCGAGCTAATTAATGAGGACTACCTTCGTATACAGAATATATGATTTTAACCAGTATTCTGCCTAAGAAATATCGGACGATTTTCTTGAATTTATTCTTCCTCTCTTCCCATTCCTTAGTATTTGTATTCTTTGAACAGTCTCCATGAATGTTCTGCAAAAAACATTATATTGACTTAGTAAGTACTGGAAATAATTTCTAATTATTTTATTTGTTCTTAAATAAAATAAATAGAATAACAATTCCATATATGCTCGTTGTGAGCACAGCTAATGTCTAGTAGGTTTGGCGGTAAGAAAATTACCTAAAAGATAGTATTATGATAGTCTTCTTATTGTCCAAATGAAGCGAAAAATAATATTATATGATTCATATAACCGAACTCTAACTAGTTTGAAATAATTTTCTTAGGGTCCAAATGAAGTGAAAAATAATATATGAGAATGAAATAATTAAGGGAACAGAAAATATAAGTACATACTGCCATGGCACATCTCCTGCAAGCATCCAATCTCCTTCTCTGTCTTGGTACAATAGTGTAAAGCGCGTACCATTATCGTTGCAATTCTGATCTGCTGCATATAATAGAATTAAACATATCAATTCCATCTTATCGTTATTTGTAAGAGAAAAAATGAGAGGACAATTTCTTATTATAAGAGTGAACTTACATTTTGCAAACATTTGGATCAAGCTGTTAGTAAGGACTTGATAGGAATTATACAGCCTTAGATTAATTTTCCTTCCAATGGCTACTCCTTCCATTTTAACCTTCACATACATTGAGTTTCTTCGACCAATAACATCATTGTTAATTCTTTCATTTGTGTTCCAGCCAATACCTTGGTGATTAATCCCATTAATTTGCTTTTTTCTCCATGATTTAATTGGTGGCCACCCCACTAATTGGTTTTCTTCCTTGATTTCCCTGTATGAAATATAAAAAGAAATCTATTATAAGTGAAATTTCTTATATTGAGATTATCTTTGGTGAATAAGTTGAAATCGTCTAAACATTAATGAACAAGAAAAGTCGTCGAAGTGTCGTGTGATTAGAGTCTATTCTAGTCATTTTTAAGGATTTATATTCTAACATATGAACAGAGTTAACGTATGTATACAATATTTTCATACTATTATTGTATACATTATGTAAAATTTTTATACTACTATTGTTTTTAATAGTGTGGAGTAGATAATATGTCTTATTTTCTATGTTACTGATCAAATTTTTTATAGTAATTACATGTACATGATATGATAGTATAAAAATTAGATGTTATGCAGGTAGAAGTTAAACTCTGAATTTAAAGTACATTGTGTAACTTAGTAGGCATTTGGACACAAAAATTATAATTTTTGAAAAAAAATAGTTTTTGGAGTTAAATTGAAAAATGGTATTTAGAAATTGAAATTATGTTTGAATATACATTTCATTTTAAATATTGCAATTTTGTGAGTGAGAAAAAAACTTTTTTCCTTAAAATTTTGGAAGGTTTTTGAAAAACTCATTTTCGAAAAATCGTCAGGAACTTAAAAATTTTTGTGGACAAACATATTTTGAAAAAAAATTCATGAACAAACGGGCCCTTAAAACTTACGGGTTGCAAGCTTCAAAAGTTCTCCTCTTTGGGTGATCATCTTCTTCTTCATCATTTGGTTGGCCATTCCATATAAGCAAAGGCAACGTTTTACGTTCAAATTTGTCACTATCATCATAATCAGAATTAGCCGCTGAAAAGTTAGACTTGTGGTTGATATAATTGCTATCATTCTTCATTTCTGAGAAGTTGTCATCAAAACTGTCGACGTTGCCATTTAGGTCGGAAGATTTGATGGGAAAATAGGAAGGAATTGCAAGACCAAGCTCAAGTTCCATCTCATAAAACTATATATTATAAACAAAAATAGCACAGAACTAATTAAACAACTCAAAAAAGTGTTATATGCTAGAGACTATGAAATTATACGTAAATGAAATGCTAGCTTCTTCTTAGTCCAGTACGTATTTGCTAGGTTGAGTTTGAAGATGTGTATATATATGCTTGAAAGGAAAGAGAAGAGAGCAGAAGAAGAGATAAGTGTCGGTTGAGAAAGAGAAAGGGAAAAAAGATAAAGGGACAGCATTGAAGTTGGGTCGGCCAAAATTGTAGCAGTGATATGAACAAGTCAGAAAAGGATGTTTTTGGCCCCTCACCATTTTCTACCCCACCTTGTCCCACTCTTGTTCCCATACTTACCATATATATATATATATATATATATATATATATCCGATGCATCAAAGCATCTCATGTTCACGTAGGATTAAGCAAAAAAATCATATATTAAAAAATGCAATGACTGTTTTTACGACTCGAACTCATAATATATAGATTATACCAAAATAATTTTTTCATCGCTCCTGAATTCTCCTTCATCTCTCACATAAACAAACTTCTCTAAATGCGATTTTACGTATTATGACCACTACTAATTAATTAATCAGTGATATAATTTTGCTTGTCTTATTTTCAAAGCAAATGGCAACTCCTTCATTTTTTAATTAGCGTTCCCCGGTAACAAATTCTGGTATATTCTTTACTTAAGGATTAACGAACTCTTGTAGTAAAGAGTTTATCGATATTAAAAATAAGGTAGGTGATGTGGAAAGAACAAAGAGAAGAGCGTAATTGATTGTAGTTATGTTTTAGGTTACATGACAGTGTACTTTTTCTACGTATTGAGGTTCAATTTTTAGTTTAAATGTTATTACAAAATAAAAATTCTTCTTGTAGGTATCCAACTGAAGCGTGTAAAAGACGAGTTATGCACGTTTAATTAATAAATACATGAGCGTGCACTTCATTTCTATGTACTCTATACATGTACCTTAATTATTATTTTTGAATAACGATTAACAACGTACGATTTCCTAGTGATCTGTCCGACAATGCAACGTATAGCGAAACCTGATGTCTTATACTTTTGTGACATCCTAATTAAGAAATTTCATTTTACTATTTTTCTACAGTCTTCAGACTGCAAATGGAATTTATGATAAATACGTTTTTTCCCCTCTTCTTTTCTTTAGCTTTAAAAATACTGTAGGAGTCTAGAGTACAAGGAAGTTTCATAAATGATCTCTATTTCATCCCACTGTCCTGGGGACGGAGTAACTTTTGCTCAATTAATATATTTGCGTTAAAAATATTATTAAATATAGAACATCATCATTAACACTTGAAGTCGTCGTTCTAAACATAACTCATAAAGTCAAAACCGGGCAGATTTAGTGCAAATGTTACGGATTTTCGTGAATCTAGTAACTTTTGCATAGACCCTGTATTTATACTAAATTCATTAAAAATATAAGAATGTTAGCTTGAAACCCTGTTCATTGGTCCAGTTATCACGTGAATTAACTTGAAATTGTTGTAGAAACCCATAAACTTAAAATTTTGAATCCGCCTCTGACTCTGGCTCGCCTCTAACTGTCCCACATTTCCTTCTTTTGTGAATACTTGATGGAGCTATTGAGCCAACACGCAGTCCTTTGTTTACCAAGAAAAAGCAAAAGATTTTCCATTTGCAATCAATGGTAAATTGAACAATAAAGTAAAACAAGGATATATCCTTCAATCTTCTCTCTTTTTCTCATAGTTGGAAAATGACATGATTACTAATTAAAAGATTGATTGCTAATTCAAGATTTAATGTGTTTGAACGTAACTTAAACGTGCTTTATCAAATAAAGTATTAAAGCAAAACATAATTTGTCTGGCATGAAAAAATGTTTGAATAAATCAGCTTATGACTTGTTTATGTCCCCTTTAAAATCTTTGATAAAGTTACTTTGATGGATTTACCAAATAACCGTGGCTAGTTCCCTAGCTTTGTACCAGAAAAGGCGTGGTTATTCTGTGAAATAGTACGATCTAGTTAGTTTTCCGACTGATAATTGAATAATAGCCAGCGTTTGCAAAATTATTAAAAAATAATCACTATTTTGTTGCAACACGGACCGGTCCAACATAATATACTGGAGATTGGTGTACCTGTGAATGAACTTCCAGCATATTATGCTGGAACTCCAACACACGGAAAGTTCCAGCATAATATACTGGAGATTGGAGCACCCGTGTATGAACTTTCAGCATATTATGCTGGACCGGTATGTTATACTGGAACTCCAGTACAATATGCTGGAGTTTCAGTATATTATGCTGAATTTTTTTTTCCGAATTTTGAACGTTGTTTTCGTTCAAATTTATCTTTACATGAAAAGTGACTAAATTTCGATTACTTTTGAAACTGTGGCTATTTTTTAATTACCACTTATAAATGTGATTATTTTTAAATTTCTCCCGATTATTCTTCATTACACTTACATCAAATTATCTTGACTCATTTATATTAAGTTTTAAGCATTGACGACATAAAAAGTTTTTTACAATTAAATCACTTAAAATGCAATTACATGCGAACCATTTGTTGTTATTATTTAGTGGTAATCTGAAAATTGTAAATTACTATTAAATATAACGTGTTAAATTATGTTGTCATTTGACTTACGTTTGAGCACGATCTTTCTAGTTACAGTCATTATATTGGAAGTAACATTATTATTATTATTACAATATATTTTCTAATTAATTAAACTTGGTTTTGACATGTGTTACGTGTCGAAAATGAAAGTTCAAGAAAGTCATGATGCCGGCACTTCCATCATTTAATCTCCAAAATCATGAGAAAAATGGCAATAAAAACACATTAATTCTATTGGTTTTGTTGATTAATTTCTAAGCATACAACTGGATATTTCTAAATCAGATTAAGTGTTGATTCCTTATGTCGGATAATTGCTCAACATATCAACATGAAAAATAGGATGAGACCTCTAGCCAAAGCAACCAACAAGGATATACAAAGGTTTGGCGAGTGTTTTCGGGCCACTTGGTCTTTTTTATACATTAAAAAATATTAAAAGGTACTAAAATCTCTCATAAACTACACTGCTTAAATCTGCTAGGAGCAAGAACTCCATTTCCTTGAGCGCCTCTAACTAGCAAGTTTTTTTCATGTTTGTGACCTTCATTTGCCAAAAAGTCTGCACATTGTTGACTTTCAATAAGTATCTGCAATCTTCAATAACAATCCGAAGAGGATGAATCTGTATGTTGTCTTCTTTGATAAGCTTGACAGCAAACAGACAATCCGTTTCCACTATTTATACCCCATGTCCTTTGCTAGTTGTAGCCCTTGTTTAATGCTCCATAATTTTGAGTAGAGGTGCCAAAATGGTTTTAAAAAAACTGTTATCCGTCCATATTTTTCATTAAAAAATGGGTTGGATTATGAATTTTTTAAAAACGGGTCAAATATGGATAAGAACCATATTATCCACTTAGAAAATGGTTAATCAAATGGATAACTAATGTGCTTAACTTTTACATTTGTAAAGCTCAAATTGGGGTTCCTCAAGTTTTGAGAGACTAGAAATTCTCCCATAAGTAATCATATTCAAGAAGCCATGGATTATCCGCCAGATAACCCATTTTTTATCCGTCTCAAATACGGGTCGGATCAGATAACTTATCCGTTTTTTAAATTACCCATTTTCGACCCGCTCATATATGACCCGACCCGCTCGTTTGCCACCCCTAGGCCGGAGGTAGGTGATAGCTTACCTAAATATCTCAGTATCTACTATCCATGATCTCTAAAAATACCACCAAAAATAACATTTTCAGTTTTAGGTCTTCACACTGCCATCAATATTCAATTTAATCTTGCTTACACAAGTAAAATGATTCTGTATGATACAAGTAAAATGAGACTTAGCTTTCAAGAACTATACAGTTTCTGTAATCTTTTTATTTTAAATTTTCTCCCAATTTAAAAGGATCTATAGTGTTTACGCATTTCTCTTCTAACATGACTTAAACCCGGAACCTAACAATCGTTAATGAAACTGTTTACCAACCGAGCAAGTCTAACTTGTCTCGTACTCAGCATTCAAGTGTAAACTAGAAATCCTCCTTGTGAAGTTCACGTGCTGAATCTGCATAGGTCGAGACAGCCAATTCACAATTTGTACTTTCTGTGATTATTTATCCCATCAATATCGGTGGATCACTCGTGTGGTAGCTGAATCCTATTGAATTATGTGATCTCATCTAAAAGCAGCTTAAATTGTTAAATAATTTTTTTAATTACTTAATTATATTATATTCTTACATTTACCTTTTACTTGTATGTCCGAGTTTTTTCATGGGTCAAATGCGAGGTAAATTTCATCGATGGTTATTCAAGTTAAGTTTCGTAACATAAAAACTACTCTTTTTTTAATAATAAAAAACTCATTTTATTATGGCCTAATTAATAAAAAAATAAAAATCACCAAAAATACAAATTGTGGCCGAAAAATGAATTTGGCTATCCTAATCCTCTAATTAATTTATTAACAACTTTTAATTGAAATAAAAAATGCATATTTTGGCCAAAAAACCGACTTGATATTTGTATAGGCCAAAATCCGTCCTTAGGATATTTAGTGTAATACGACACTAAAGAAAGAGTCATTCGAACTCGTCCAAGATGCAGCGAAGTCATTGGCCGAGGTGCCGACATGAGCCGTAATCGAAATGTCAATAAGGATCGAGGTCGACATTGGTCATTGATGATCTTGATAAGACTTGTAACGACTAATCTGTCAGGATATGATATTAAGAGGGAATATTCTAGTGGATATTGCCCCCAATTTATACTATTAGGGTTTCCTAGGAAAAACCTCATAAATATAGATAGAAGAGACCATGATAGAGGCATATAATATTGATTTTGATAAGAACACTTTTGAGAAGAAGACTTCATCACTTGCAAAAATACAAAGACTACCTTTTGATAAAGATTCTTGCTCATATTATTCTCACCTTTCCACTAGATCCGAGGATTGATTATATGAATTCCGGACCCATCTGTCATTCATTATTGTCAGGAGAAATATTCGTTCAACCCATTCATTATTGGGTTAATCTTTCTCCTTATTTACTCAAATGCCATTTATTGTTAGTTGTATCTCCACTAATGT